AAAGATCATCGCGTATGTGGTGTTGAAGTCGGAGAATTACCTCGAACAAATTACGAAGCCCTTCCTCTAGCGCCAAACTGTTGTAATACGATTTTGTAACAACAAAAATGTACACCCCCCTTTTGTGAATAGGGGGTATAGGATTTGTAGGGATTTGTAGTGATTTTTGGTAGGATCTTCTTAATGAGAAGATTAAAAGAATTTGGTGTAATGTTTCGTATATATTTCAGATCAAGAATTGGATGCAGAGAGTAAAGGAAATTTTAAGAAGATAGAAAACTGTCTGTTCTATTTTTTCTCATGGAATACTTGTTATTGAATGGAAAAGAGGATCAGGATCCCCCTTGAGGCGGTGCCTTGTGATTCCTGATAAGGGAAAAATTAAAAGTCCCTTATCTCTATCCCTTTAGCCCCTATTTGTATTTGGGCTAATATCGGCCCGTATATTTAATGGGCTTTTATGATAAAACATGACCGCGCAGGGTCCAAATAATAATAAAACATGACCGCGCAGGGTCCAAATAATAAACATGACCACGCAGGGCCCAATAATAAATATGACCGCGCAGGGCCCAATAATAAACAATAGCTCTGACTGATATTTGTCTTGTCAGCAATTGACGTGTCTGTATAAGCGGCTTCTTTGGTGATATCAGGGTCGAGCTGGCGGTCTTTGAATACGGACCTCGTCTTCTGGGAACTCGATCAATATTAAACAGACAAAAGAACCTGCTATTTTATATTTATTTAATATATATATCCACGTGTAATATTTTAATAGGCGAGGCCAAAATTAGGTAACAACAGAGCTCATATATGATCCTCTTTTTTCTGGTTCTTTTCGAGCCGATCTCTCGATCTTTCTCCTCCATTTTCTTTTTTTTTTTTATAAAAAAAAAATTCAGCTTTGTCTGAAAAATTACAAGCCGAAGAAAGTAAAGCGAAGGGAGAAGGATTAAATGCGCCTATTAAATCAAAGAAAGATTTGATTTTTCGAAAAGGGCATCTCAAATTTCGCTCAAAGATCAAAACTTTCAGAATGGGCATCTGATATATTTCTCCCAATTGCTGAATTTCTGAAAATGGGTCTTCGAGATTGTTGAAGAAAAAAATTGTCTGCTCAAGGTTTTGAGTTTGGATCTTAAACAGATCGAGCTACAGAGGTGTCTGAAGCTAGGAATTTGGGAGATCTTTTTTTTTTGTTTTTATTTTTCATTTCTCCAGAAAATGGCAGCAATTGACATAGAAAATGTGGAGTGTGTATCTTCATCTGATGGGATCGAGGATGAAGAGATCCGGCGAGCCGTGTCCTCTAACCCTAATCAATATTCTTCGAAGCGCCATAACATAATCTCATCTGGGCTTGGACCCACAAGTGTTCACGAATTGCTCGAATGCCCAGTTTGCACTAATTCTATGTACCCACCAATCCATCAGGTCTCTCTCTCTCTCTCTCTCTCTCTCTCTCTGTATATGTGTGTTTGTGTGTGGTGTCATTCTGAGGATATTTTCTGTTTGAGTTAAAATTTTAATTATTTTAAATCTGCAAGCAAATTTTGTCATTTTCTGGTTGTGTTTGTGCCCCTTTTCTTGAAGAACAATGGAAATGGTGATGTGGATAGCAATGGAGTTTTGATGAGTCTGAGGTTTTTTGTTCATAGCATAAAAAATTGGCTTGTGGATACTAATTGTTTGTGCTGATTGTTCCTGGATGTGTCCTTGATTGAGAAACTTAAAATTCGGGCCATTGAAACATAGTAATACAAACAAAACCGATGATTTTGTTCAATGTAATGAACCTGAGAACAGAGGTCAATGATATCATCTAGGGTACTTGTATAAAATAAAATACGGGAATCCTTGTTGTAACTATATTCTGTAGAAAATAAAAATTACTTATATCTTCAGATATCATTAATAGGTGTTGTACACATTTCGAATGATGACAATTTCGGTTGTTTTTTTCTTTCTATTCTTTCAGTGCCACAATGGGCACACTCTTTGCTCGACTTGCAAAGTGAGAGTGCACAACCGGTGCCCCACTTGCCGGCAAGAGCTTGGAGATATCAGGTGTTTGGCCCTAGAGAAAGTTGCCGAGTCCCTCGAGTTGCCCTGCAAGCACTACTCCTTGGGCTGCCCCGAAATATTTCCTTACTACAGCAAACTCAAGCACGAGGCACTTTGTAATTTCAGACCGTATAATTGCCCTTACGCCGGGTCTGAATGTGCAGCCACTGGGGACATACCCTTTCTTGTTTCACATTTGAGAGATGACCACAAGGTGGACATGCACTCCGGATGTACCTTCAACCACCGATATGTGAAGTCGAATCCTCGTGAGGTTGAGAATGCCACGTGGATGTTAACTGTGAGTTTTTTTTTGTTCTTTTCACTTTTGTATCTTAAATGTTCTTGCTATGGTAGATGCTAATTACGTAATGAAGATGATTGCGATTGGGAGTTGATATTATTTGTAATGTTGATGGAAGTTGAGGAGGGGTGTGAATTGTTTGAATTATGAAATACTCAACAACATAAAAAACTTTCCATTAGCTCCACTTAACACATGCAAGG